TAGTCAATCCTTGGATCTTGGGTACGATTGTGAGCGCCGCCGCTCATAGTCCTACTGTACAAGATGTAGGATTGCGAGCGCTACTGCTCGCAATCGGAGGCATGTTGCTCGGATTGTGAGCAAAGCTGCTCGCAATCCTAGGCTTTGCTCGGATTGCGAGCGCGCTGGTAGTAGTCGTAGGCGTCACCAGTCACCTTGGGAGCGGAGCTGCTCTTAGTCCTAGAAAGAAGACGTAGGATTGCGAGCGTGGGTGCGACACAGTCGCACAGAGATGCTACGATTGCGAGGAGTGCTGCTCACAATCCTTCGACTTCTAGGATTGAGAGCGAGGCCTGCTCTCAATCCTATGTATGAGAGAGAGAGATTTTTAGCAATACCAAACAACTCTAACACTCACACGTCATTTGGGGCCTGGAGCCCTGTTCACGCGCGCGCGAGACGTGCAGACAGGGTTGCCAGGTGAGAGCGAATGGCGCGGTTCACGCCTCGCACAACAGAGAGAGAGATGCGCTCTGCACTTGGAGCACTGCATGGTGGGACATAAAAGAGAGCGAGTACTTGGGCGAGTAGGCTGTGTGCGGTCGACGCTGCCGCGCGCGACTTTGCGCGCGAGGCGGCGCAGCTTGAGAACGGCGGTGGGCGAGAAGCCGCCGCCGAACGTCTCGTGGAGCAGCAGGTTGAAGTTGTTGCGCTTGTCCGGACTGCTGACATGAGAGAGAACTCCGAGCAGAACCTCTCTGACCTTGCTAGTGTTTGCGTTGATGAGCGGGATGGGGTGCGCCCCAAGCCCACAGGCCCAGGTTAGGTTTAAGCCCACCCCTGGGTTCGGACTTTTTGCGGGGTATGGTATGGTACCATCGCGCAACCCACCTCGAGACCATACCCCCCCGCCTGCTGACAGACCCAGCCTCCCGGCTGCCGGCCTCGGGCGGTCAGGACCATACCCCCCCACCCTTTGGGCTTTACCATACCATACCCCGGAAAAAGTTGGAACCCTGTGAGCGAAAGCGCTGGTGGTGTGTTTCCCCCAAGAAGGCGGCTACGACTACGAGGAAGCTGGTGTGGGCGGTCAGCGCAAGTGGGCCAGCGTGCTCTTTCATGCTGCAAGCTCCGCTCTTGCTGCTTGGCCAGAGAACGGTGAGCGTCGGCGAGTCGGGAACGCTGCGGCTCGTGCACGTGTCGGACGCGCACTACCACCCGTTCGCCACAGCCTGCGAAGACGTGCCGCGAGGCGCCGGTCCTTGCACGCACAGGAACACGACGCAGTTCCTCGCCTCGGTGCTGCACGTTGAGCGGCCGGACCTGGTCGCATTCACTGGCGATGTCATCGACGGCGACTCTTCTCCACCGCAGCTCGCAATGGCGCAGCTGTACGGCGTGGCCGGCGCGCGGCCTTGGGCCGCCTCGCTCGGCAACCACGACGAGGAGTCGACGCTGAGCCGCGACGAGGTGCTCGCGTACGTCACGACGCTGCGCGGCTCGCTGACCGAGCACGGGCCGGTGAAGGGATCGCCGGGCAACTTTTACCTCGACGTCGTCGCGGCGGGCGCGGCGGCGGCGGGCGAGGCGGCGATGCCGGCGCATGTGGCCGCGCCAGACGCGCGGCGTGCGGTGGACGGGGAGAAGGGTGCGCCCGAGCTCAACGCCTCCGGGCGGTCTGAGCCGAGCAAAGAGGGCGAGGCGGCGGGCGGCAAGTTGGTGGTTGCGCGGCTCGTCTTTTTCGACAGCCGGAAGGACTACGCGCGTAGAAGCAGAGAATGCGCATTCCTGCATCCCAACCAGCACTCGAGAGGCACGTATTCCGCTGTATTCAGCGGTATTCACTGTCTTCCTATCCGTTACATTCACGCGGTGCTCTGAAGACACTGCACAATACCGCCTTCCCGCCCTGAGGTTGGTGTTCAGCACGTAGGACCACGTGCGGCAGATGATCAGCGACGCCCAGCTCGCCTGGTTTGTCGAGACGGTGGGCTCCTTGCCGCGCGTGCCGACGCTGGCCTTCTACCACATTCCGCTGCACGAGTACGAGGTCGCCCCGAGCACGAGCCCCGAGATTGCCCGAGATCGCGATGAGCCGAGAGACTCGCCGAGCTTGACCGAGATCGAGGCGTGCCGAGATTTGCCGAGATTTATCGAGCTCGAGACTCGGCGGCGGTCGCTGTGAGGACGCCCGAGATCGCCCGAGATTGCCGTAGATCGCCCGATATCGCCCGAGATTCAGGCGGCGGTCGCTGCGGGGGTGCCAATGTCGGGCGAGATGCGCGAGCCGGTCTGCAGCGACGGGCCGAACCCGCGCGTCTTCCCCGCGCTCAAGGAGGGGGGCGTCGTCGCCGGCTTTTGCGGCCACGACCCGCTCAAACGCCTCTCTGAGTTCGGAGCGGCTGTGCCTCACCAGTCATCCTTGTTGAGAAGTGTAGGCCACGACCCGCTCAAACGCCTCTCTGAGTTCGGAGCGGCTGTGCTCACCAGTCATCCTTGTTGAGAAGTGTAGGCCACGACCACACAAACGACTTTTGTGCCGCGTGGCAGGGGGTGCAGCTCTGCTACGAGGGGTCGCCCGGCTTCACCGCATACGGCAGGTGAAGTGTGAACAGCGGATTTTGAATCAGCGTTCTCCTTGAACGATATCGGTGTCGAAACACCGCTCTGACAGCGCTCACAGCTGTGCCGGGCCTTTTACCTATTCGGTATCACTGCCCAGCCCTCCCGGCCTGTTTCCCTCTAGCGACCGGTCGATGAGAGGGCGGCACGTCGAGATACCCTCATCCCCACCCCCACCCTCATACCCACATCCACCCTCACACCCACCCCCCACCCTCACACCCACACCCACACCCACACCCACGAGTATAATGCGCCCCAGGTGCGACGACGGCGGGCGGAGCTGCTACATGCGCCGCGCGCGCGTGACGGAGCTGCAGATCGACGTGGGGCGGCGCCGCCTCGCCGCCGTGCGGACCTGGAAGCGAGTCGACGCCGGCGGCAGCGTCGCGGCGGCGGCGCGCTCCCTCTCTCGCCCTCTCCCTCCCTCCCTCCCCCTCCCCCTCCCTCCCGACTGCCGACGAGCACTGGGGAGCTACTCCCACTGCCTCCCAAGTACGCCTCTGTGCCCGTGGCCTGGCAGGCCGGTGCCTGCTCTGTGCCCCACACAACACTGCACGCATACCACACCTTTGGGACGGGGTAGGCGCGACTCGACGACGAGCTGCTCTGTGCCCCACACAACACTGCACGCATACCACACCTTTGGGACGGGGTAGGCGCGACTCGACGACGAGCTGCTCTGTGCCCCACACAACACTGCACGCATACCACACCTTTGGGACGGGGTAGGCGCGACTCGACGACGAGCTTCTGTGCCCCACACAACACTGCACGCATACCACGCCTTTGGGACGGGGTAGGCGCGGCTCGACGACGAGTTGCTGTGGACGTCTGCGAACCGGAGCGCCGGCTTGGTGGGCGCGCAGCGCACTGTGTGTGCCTCCCTCGACGTTGGCCCGCGGCGCGACCAGCCGCGCCGCCGCGCCCCTCCTCCCCACCATTGGACGTTGTTTGATTGAGACAGTGGCTTAGAAGAGAATAGAGATCTGAGTACTGAGATGCGGCGCGTGCGCAGTCGATTGGGAGAGTTCGAGAGATTTTGAGATTCTTCTCTTCGATTGGTGGACCGCCGCTCATATTGGCATGGCTGGGGATATTGCAGCTAGAAACAAACAGAGCCGCGTACACCGCTCAGAGATATTTTCAGAGACAGGGAGAGTTTCCCGAGATCCCGTTGGCGGCGTTGCCGTTATCTCATAAAGCCGCCGTAGTACTTCATTCATCATGGGGCGGTTACACCCCGGCGTCCAGAACGATGTAGCTCATGAGTCATGTGTGTAAAGCCGTACCACGGCTTTACGAAGTGGTACCAGCTATGCAAAAAGGGGGGGAGCATACACACATATGAGCATGGAGCTGCTCTCAAGCCACGAAGGAGAATGCTCGAATCACGAAGGACGACGCCTCGGCGCGGCGACAAACTATCAGTCTCTCATCTAAGGTCCTAAACAATCACGCAAGTGGCCAGTCGGCTTTAATGTGTGCCGGTCATACAACGCCTTGATCTGCCTTGACGCAGCAGCAGTGCTCGAGGGGTTGGCCGGTCTCTCCGCACTCGGACGCGGTTTGAACGGGCGTGTCGCGGTGCAGCTCGCACGGCGCTCCCGACGGGAGATTGCGGGGGTCTTTCGGATACCACTCGAACGCCCTGCACTCCGCACCCCTCGCCTCGGTGCACGCCTCCTCGCATGCCTCGGGAGTGGTGATGCGCTTCTGCGCGTGGTACTCGCCCGGCCCGCAGGTAAACGTTCGGCAGGCGCCTGGGGAGCCGTCGCCCGTCTCAAGGTCCGTGAAGCTGTAGTACCCGGGCGGGCAGCTGAACCCGCCCTCGATGCCGGGGTAGCACTCCGAGGGCGACAGGGGCGGCGGGAGCGACGGGGGCGGCGGGAGTGACGGGGGCGGAGACGGCGGCGGCGGCGAGGGCGGCGGTGGCAGGGGCGGCGGCGGTGACGGGGGCGGCGAAGGGGGTCGTGGCGGCGGCGAGCTCGGGGGCAATTCTGGCGGGGCCCCCGGCGGCTGGACTGGCTGAACACCGAGCACGAAGAAGAGCATGGCTGCGAGGGGGGGCGAGAACGAGAGGCGGGCGGGTGGGCGAGGCGAGGCGCGAGAGCGAGGGCCGAGGGGTGGGCGAGGCGCGAGGGCGAGGGGTGGGCGAGGCGGAGGGCGAGGGGGTGGGCGAGGCGCGAGGGCGAGGGGTCGGCCGCTTAGATGGGCGAGGGCGAGGGCGGCTTCCTGGGAATCGGGCAGAAATCGGCGTGCATGCAATTTCATGTGAAAACCAGCAGTGAAAAACGGCGTGCAATTTCATGTGAATAGATAGCCGCGGGGGTGCAGGAGGCGCTCAATTGCTGGGAGGAGGGCGCGTACGAAGCGGAGACGATGGAGGCGCTCGCCGAGTTCGGCGATTGAGCGCCTCCCTCTCTCTCCGGCTGCGCGCATGACCGGTGCGGCCTCCGAGTCGGCATAAAGCGCGCGCGATAAGGTTTTTTCTTGCCTTCCCTGGGACCCTGTTTGCATGTCTGACTGTCACTGTGCGATTTCGGGGCCCGGGGTTGTGCGTTTATGTGAATAGCCGCTCGCTGCGGGGCAAGTTGCGGTGGAGCACGAGTTTCACTGCGAGCACAGCATACGCACGAGAGAGAGAGAGAGAGAGAGCAGTCCTAGTCCCTAACAACACATCTTCCACAGATAGCGACCTCTCATTCGCTCGTCCGCGCCCGTCACTGCTAGTCGGGGCACTCCCGGCGTGCGGCCCGGTCCCGGTCGTCACTCCGGTTGCTCGTCTTCACACCGTCAGAACTCAGCTCCGCTAAGGATCCAGCGTCTGAGACTTGGGCATCTTACACAACTTTTGTAGTAGAGCACAATGGCACCCTTGCATCAAGTGCATCACTTCATTAATAGACCGTAATAGAGGTCCCCGTTTTCGGCCGCCGCGGCCGGAGAGCACCCCCGTCGCCCCCGGGGGCCCGTCGACCCCCCAGGGTTGTCGCCAGAAACGCCGCTACGTACCTGTTCGGGCAAACCATCGAGCTGCATGTCGATTTCGACTTGACGGCGGCATGCAGGCATCACGTCTCCATGCTGCCGTCAAGTTGGAGCCAGTCTGCGGCGACCACAGCGCTCAGAGAGGTACATAGTCAAGAGATTGCGCGAAACCCACACTTCGTTCCAGCCTTCGGAGGCTATCGTGGGGTCGAGCCGGCAGTAGCCGTGACATGTGGTTCCACCACCCCTCGTAGGCTTTGCCTCTGACCGCCACCGTTCCAGGCTGCCTAATGGAATGGAAAGGAAGGCTGGGCGAGCGTATAGAAGCGCTCTCGACCTCGTCGTGGCAGCCTGCACGGCAGCGCTGGCGGGCGCGATGAGCGTCGTGCCACTTGACCCGAGACGGGTCGCAGGCGTCGTACCGAGCGCGTCGAGACCGTCTCCTGATGTGATCTGCACGGGTGAGTCACGTCGGCGTCAAAGGAGCGACGTGCGACCTGTCAGAGCTTGATCTCCAATCTCAGCGGCGTCGAGTCGTCTCCGGCGCGCAACAAAGGTACATCCCCAGGACGCGCAGAGGCAGCTGTGATTGGATGATCAAGCTCTGACAGGTCGCACGTCGCTCCTTTGACGCCGACGTGACTCACCCGTGCAGATCACATCAGGAGACGGTCTCGACGCGCTCGGTACGACGCCTGCGACCCGTCTCGGGTCAAGTGGCACGATGCTCATCGCGCCCGCCAGCGCTGCCGTGCAGGCTGCGATGACGAGGTCGAGAGCGCTTCTATACGCTCGCGCAGCGTTCCTTTCATTCATTAGGCAGCATGGAACGGTGGCGGTCAGAGAT